TTAAACTACAATAATTAATATTTTTAGATTACAAACTATCTACCTAAACATCTTATGGTGGTGGTAGTGCATCTCCAATTACTGAAGGTCGGTAGTCAATCTCTGAAATCTCTCATTGTTCATTGCCAATCTAAACAATTGTTTTACTGACTTGACCCCGTTCACTCTCGGATGTTCCATAGACAAGACATTTTGCGACTACCAAGCCTTGCCCGCAATTTTGCCCATCATTATTGATGCACCTCATATCGCACTAGCTATATGTTTTTGAAGCATTCATTGTTAAACCCGGCTGAAATTACGTGCTAATTCGGAAACCAATAAAATTTGCTCAGAGGTTGCAATCAGGACTGCTATCTTTAACCAAAAGATTTATATGAAAAGAACCGATGTTGGAGACTTTAAATTATTATTTTTTAAATTGGCAAGTGAAATGTATTGCTTGGGTAGGTTAAAACGCACGACCTCGTGGTTGAGTACTTTATACTAGACCATATGTCACGGGTAAATGTTACCAGTGAAATCTTAGTATATATAAATTACGAGTCACGTTGTTCGTCCGCTATGGACTCCTAAACTACTGAACTGCTTTCAATCAAATTTGCACACCGTGTGCAGTTTGATCTAACTTAAAAGATTCACTTACATCTCAATTTATACCCGCAATATTATGATATTGCAAAATATTTGTTTATTATTTAACAGTCACAATTCTAACAGATGGCGCTGTGTTGAAAGTACCAACGTTTCACATAAGCTACAATTTAATGGCATAACCACCAAAAAAGCATGGTGGTCCCCATGACTGGTGTTCTCCTACCGTTTCCCTTGAATAGTTTACTACTATGTAATGTAACAAAAACCTTAGCCACAGCAACGCTTGGCAGGTCTGCCAGTTTTATATATAAAATATTTAAATTGAACCGTGTGTAATTACGGCTATCATCAAAAAGCGATTCCGATGGGACGAGACACCAGTATGAATATAAATAACAGGAGCGTGCTTCGAGTAGCAAGTGCGGATTAGTCAAATACATACAAGTGGGTAAAAATAAGAAATATTATATAAAAAAGTGCGTGCGTACAAAGTATACATGTCAGAAGTGAAACTTCTTTGGCAAACTAATTTTTAAGTCATATTTATACAAATCTAAAACTTTAGATTTCCGAGACTTAGAGGGAGGGAAAAGGAAGATATGTTAAGAATTTAATGAATTTAATTGTCGTTCAAATATTAAAAGTGTCGAAAATTAATACAAATTATACATTTAATTTATTTCTTCGATAGTAAAAAACGTCGCATTTTAATTTACAATTTGTCATTTGAGATTTCAATAAATTATTTTGCATAAAATATAAAATATTAATATTTCATAGATTCTCTTTACGAAAATTAAATTTAAAAAATAGAATTTCTATAAGGTAATCATCATCATCCTTCTCACTCTCTCTCCGTCGGTCTCAATCGCTCTCTCCCTTTTCTTCGACAAAAACGCTGCACATCTTCGTGACGTTTTCGTAAAAAATTACCCTCATGCGCCTAAAGAAGTTTCACTTCAAAAAGGTTTGATTTGAAAAGACGGATGAAATATGGATTAGGTATAGAATAATTAGCGAGCTTATTAAAGTGATTAAGATTTTATAAGCGTTAACTGAATGGCTAGTCCGACCCTCGGCCGACAATAAAAACAAATGAAACTCTATGTGAAACTGCACACATAGAAAGATAAAACCTGTGAAAACACAGACTTCTTATCTATATAGAAATGTATAATCAAGGAAACAGACACATAAATCTACGATCAAAACTATCTAGTCTAGACCAAGAGTTATAGAAACTCTTTTTTTTAAAGAACTGGGGCAAATGTACTAACTCCTGATGTCAAGTGATACCGCCGCCCATGGACACTCAATGCCAGGGGGCTCAGTATTGCCGGGCTTTTGGTAAACTTTCATTTATTGGCTCTCCAGTTTTTTCCACACTTAAGTCATTTGTTTTTTTTAAATCATATTCAATGTATATACTATCACGCGTTGGTGGTGAACACCTTCTTTAATAGTTCATAATTTACCTAAAAGACCAGTTAATTTGAAGAAAACAAAAGCTTTAGAATTGCAAAAATTAGCATTACAAACAATTCCAACTTTAAACATTAACATATTTGCATCATCGCATTTGAATCGCAAAGCTTAAATTAATTAAGAAAGCATTCAACGTTAAAATCTGGTAATTTGTAAGCCGTTTTTCTGGCGCGTCGCCATATCTCAGTGGAATTAGCAACACCTGCAACAGATAAACGCCTTAATTACCTTTGTTTCCTCCTTTCCTCCACTGAGGACAACTTGTATCTTGGAGCATTTTACAAGATTTATTTTAGATAGTTGTTTTCGCGTTTCTTAAACAGTCTGAATCTGAAACGTATTTCAGTAAAAATTGTATTCTTTTGTACAATTTTATATAAACGACTTATCATTAATATGTCAGGGTATCCGTTGGTATGCTTTTCGTAACATATACAATTTAATATAGATATTTCACGATACAGGAACCTTAGAAGACATACCCAATAAATGTATCATTTGATCGCGGCAGGTTATAAAACCTGTACATTGTTACACTTATACAAATAATAATAGGTTCTTGAAACCCAAAAACCTTTGGAAGTAGGCTATTGATTAAGTATGGACACGAGTTGTTAGTTTTATTAAAATAAATAATTCAGTGGCCATTTTAGGACCTTTTTAGGTTTGGGCCTCCGATGTCGGTATTTGTTTCATGATTTTTGACATTATTTGTCAATCTAATAGGCAAGTAGGTACCTGTCTCCTGTGGTACCTGACAGACGTCGTCGGCTTTTTTGGGTCTAAAGCAAGCCGGTTTCCTCACGATGTTTTCCATCAAGCGTTCAACCGTATGAGCGAATGTTAAATGCGCACATAGACAACACTTTTCTTTATTACGTTAAAAAAGAAAACATATTAAAGAAATTTTTTTGATGCTAAATGATCATCTAGTAATGCTATTATTACTAGACTTGTACACGGCGCAAACATTAAGAACAAATAAACTGTAGCATGATTGCTTATGAATTCTCTACAATTTTGTATAAATTAGAAAGACATCTCATTAAAACAAACCGTCATCCTTAATTTATTAAAAGTAAAATAACGTACAAATTTCGCGCTGAAAGAGGGAAAAGTTCCCGCGTATACAATTCCATATCGGGGACAATTAGCGCCACCTGGCGAGATAAGGCTTAATCCTGGAGCAAGACGGGGCAAGGGGGGACAGCGCTTCGTTAGCGCGCTTAGTGCTTTACCGCTAAAACTGCAAAACAGGCAAACACTACGTAATTATAGAGGTGACTCAGAATTGTAGTTTGTTTAAGAAAGCAACAAATATATTAACTATACGCTAAAAAAAAAAAAAAACATGGATTGTTGAAGATTTTCTGTACAAAATAAAAATCAGCTACCTGTATGAAATTATCATGTAAGTTATCTTATAATCTTATCTAATAATATAGCGATGCATACTTCCTGCACATTTTAAGTAACAAAATACCTAACAAACGTCTTCTGCGCATTATTTAATTGGTAAATAAATAAGACAGATCTATAGAATAAAACGCGACACGAAATATTAATATTTACTTACGTTCTCGGTATTTTCAGATAAATTAATAATAAAGTGAGGATTTGGGCATATTAAAGTGGGAGCATATCTACGATATTAATCTATGATCCTCTCGCCGTTTCTACCCAATAATTAGCAAGAAAGCTCGAACAGTACACTAGATAAGCCTTGAATTTCAACAAACTACGTAATCGCCTGACTGGGAATGTATTTCATTGACATAGAGTCCAATTTTGCATAGCACAACTCTGTTTTAGTATCTAGTACATAACCTTTGCTCTTGTCCACCCATCAGTGTTTGTTTATAAACACAATATATTCACTGTGAATATTATTGTTACAACGTTTTAAAGTATATAAATTAAGAGCGAATATTTTATGTATCTTAGGAACAGCTGCAATAATGAGGTTTTTTATTAACGTTTTTGAATGGAATTGATTGCGACGGCTGTATCTGACTTTTTTATTTAAATTTGGCAGAACTGTCTTGTACTGTGTAGATATGCTTTACACTTAGATTTTACTTGACTTTGTTGCGTTAATACGGAGTTCTGTCAAACTTACGATACGGTGCTTATTACAGTGCTAATTAACTGGATTGATTTAAGTTAATAAATGTTGGATCCCACCAAAACGTGTACCATCCATCCATCATAAATTCCATCTGAACTGCCTCAATATGAGCCTAGCTGACTATGACTCATTGGCTATGCGTAATGTGCCATTGTAATGATACAATTCTGAGACTCCGCTCCGCACTGCATTCTTTGGCCAAAACAACTTTTAAATCCATCGTGCAAGTCCAGACAAATCTCGAACTGCTATTGTTTCTCGTCTAACAACACGGGACATCATACGCGAAGCGATACAAAACACATTAAGACAACAATTCAGTCCGCAGCTACTAGAAGTCCGCAATGCAGGGTTATCACTCGAATCATCGATGTCCTTCTTTAATGCTGAATTGGAACAAATCAAATACGACTGCGCTTCACAGTCCGACCGGCTACATGAATTCAGAAGGAAGAATAACTGCGACCCAACAATAAGACAAGCGAAGATCGCCCAATTTGACCAACTTTCCCGCAAATCAAATATAGAAATTCAATGTGTTCCAGAACACAGAGGCGAAAATTTACCATTTACATATCTCATTATAGAATGTAACAAGTATTCTATTTTATACAATCAAATAATTGTTTCTGAAATATGGCTAAATAGTGTACAGCTATCCTCTACCTTCATGCTGGTGTCTATAAAAGAACTTTGGTAATTAGTCAACTACCTACCAACAAACAACTTAGTAAAGTACTATCTGAAACGGCTTGACCGATTCTCATGAAATTTTGTGTGCATATTGGATATGTCTGAGAATCGAAATTGTGATGAATCACTTGTTGGCAGTTCCACTCCAGACGAAATTGGCAATGTTGACGGCCTAATGTCTCTTAGCTTTAGAGAAGATGAAGTATCTAAGAAAATAAAAGGTCTTGATACTAACAAAGGAGCTGGACCAGACTCGATTCCTCCTATCTTTGTAAAACGATGCAGATTTGTGCTATCTTTGCCCCTTACTATTTTTTATAATAGATCTCTTAAAGATGGTGTTTTTCCTGAAGTATGGAAAAGGTCTCGTGTTGTACCTGTGTATAAAAAGGGAGATATCGCCGACGTAAAAAATTGCCGTCCTATTTGTATTTTATCTTGTTTTTCCAAGCTCTTTGAGTCTGTCCTGTATCCCGTAATCTTCAAATGTTTAGACGGCTATATTGATGAGCAACATGGTTTTAGAAAAGGCCGTTCAATTCAAACGAACCTCATGTCTTTTGTGACTGAAACATGTCAGGAATTAGATCGTGGGCGCCAGATTGATGCCGTATATACTGACTTTAGCAATGCCTTTGACAAAGTTAGTCACGCGTTACTGATTCAGAAGCTTCGTGGTTATGGAATGGGAGAGAATTTGCTGAACTGGTTTAAGTCCTATCTTCGTAACAGGCCTCAGTCAGTAGTTGTTGGAGGCGCTGAGTCTACTCCCTATATTGCGCGATCTGGTGTTCCGCTAGGATCCCATTTGGGACCGTTGCTATTCTTACTATTTGTAAACGACGTTAGGAATCATATAAAGCACTGTAAAGCGGCTCTATTCGCTGATGATTTAAAAATTAATAAAGTTATTAACACTGTCTGTGATGCTGCTCTAGTTCAAAGTGACCTTAATGGTATACAACATTGGTGCTTTTTAAATGGTTTGATCCTCAATATAAACAAGTGCTTTCATATTAAACACACAAGAAAAAAAAACCCACTTGTTACTGTGTATAAGCTTGACAGCGCGCCATTGAAGGAGGTTCAGGAGATTCGTGACTTGGGTGTTATTATTGACAAAAAATTAACGTTTACATCACAAGTCAATAAAGTAGTCACCACATCCACACAAATGCTTGGATTTCTTAAACGGAATGCGGGTTGTTTTGGTTGTACGACTAAAACAATTTTGTACAACGCTCTGGTGCGCAGTCATGTTGAATTTGGCAGTATTATATGGAATCCACTATATGCGATCCATTCGCAACGCGTTGAAAGCATTCAAAGATCTTTTACGCGGCACCTAGCTTTCATAAGCAGAGGATTTTCACATAGGCACCCGTACCATCAGCGACTCAAAAAATTTAATATGTTATCTCTGTACAATCGAAGAATTCTAGCCGGTGTTACCTTCTTGCATAAATTGCTCAATAACCATATACAGAGCAGTGACCTCTTACAGGAAATCAAATTTGTCGTCCCTTACTCATTCCCTAGGTTTAAAATCAACAATATCTTCCAAATTCCTTCTGCCAAAACCAACCTAGGAGTTCAGGCACCTCTCGTTCGAATTCTTCGCGATTTTAACAAATTGAACTCAGCTTATCCAGAGCTGGATATATTCGGTAGTGGGCTGATCGGTTTTAGAGAAAGCATTGTGGGGTGCCTTTCTCGAACCTGATTTCGCTGTTTTGATGATGATTTTTCTTTTTTTTCTGCTCTAAGTGGCAACAAACTTCTGTAATTTTATTTTATTTTATTGTATGCTTTTACTATCGTATATGTTTTAATTGTATTTTTTAATTTCTATTTATTTTTTTGTGAAACTTATGCTTACATTAATTGGCACACATTTTAGATGTGAGATTTTGTAAAATAATTGGTAATTTTGGTACTGTGTGTGCTGTCGTGGGCTTAATAACTAAATAAATAAATAAATCGGACAACATCTATTTTTCATCCCCCTAAATGTTAAGGGTAATCCACCCCTAATTTTTTTTTTTAATTTTAAATTTTTCGACGACGACGATTTTAAAACGATCCTATTTTTTATTACAAACGATATACATGGCAAAACGACGTTTGCCAGGTCAGCTAGTACTATATAGAATTTTATCTATGAGATTACTAAGCGGATCTATTTATTTATTCTTTATTTCAAGATATGTAAGCTTCCCTTCAATAAAGCACACGTCAAAGTAGGTATGTATCTTCACACACCATTACCCGTCGATACAGCTCTATCTTTATATCGTATACAGCTTTATACCCCGTAACCCCGCTATGGGCTCGTTTTGTACACATGACCGGTTATGTATTAGCCATTTCGTTGTTTCATAAAAGGAAAATCAAAGGGTTCTTACGTATCTACGAACGCATAAACGCGCTACTAATTATTTTAATGCCTGCGATGTCTGCGTATACATGTATTATTAAATTTGTTGTACTGTTTGGCGGTAATTGTTTTATACAAAAAATCTATACAAAAAAAAATTGTTATGGTCTGGGAGTTTAATTTTTTGTACGTAAATACTAAAAAAATATCTGGCGCTAAAACCTTTTTGATCTAGGTTTTAGATTTTAGGTTTCATCCACAAGGCTAACACTGCCGTTATAAGATATAAAGGACACACACTGCTATTAGAGGTAAATAATTCCTTGCTAATAAAACAATAGAACGCAACAAATTAGTACAATATAAGAACAAAAATATATAAAACTTTATTGGTATATTACCTCGCAAACAGCGTGTATACTGTATATCGTAAACATACCCAAAATGCAATATGACTCGGGGTTGGGGTCTTTATCTCCCAAGTTTAATATAAATCCTTGTGAAAAGCTGACCAAAAAACGAATAGCGTCGAAATTCTTGCCAGAAAGTATGATTTCCCCACCGAGTACGTGACTCTCACAAGATAATCTTTGAAATATATTTTTTAAACGCCTCTTAGCATTTTCTTATATAATCAAACATTGTTCTTTAACCAGAATAACGTAACGTTTGTGTGAGTTAATTGATATTGTAGATATCTTCTTTCTTATTAAAAACAATTGAAAAAAAATCGATAATTCAAAGTCCAGTTTATATTATTTAGATCAATGGGTTTAGAAGCTGCGTACTTACAAATAACGGAAGTGAACGTAACAAAAGTATTGATAATATACATTTTCTTTAATAATATTAAAAGCAAGACGTAGTATAAACATTTATATACTATTTTACTAAAATTGTATACTGTTTTCGTCCAAGGCGTTTTTTGCAAATTGGTATTGTGTCTTAAAATAGCACATAAGTATCGTCTGAGCGTCTAAACCATTTCTTGCGGGACATTCGCGAGAAAATTCAATTTGGATCAGCCTCCCTCTTAACTCAGATAGTGACGTCCCAGTTGAACTGGATATCAAGGATAATATTAAAACCCTTTATTGTTTTTGCCTGGTTCTTGAGGTTCATTCAAAATTGACTTACGTTAATAACAAATTCATTAAATAATCTGTATTTTCGTTTCATTTATATATGGTAAAGGAAATTCTTATTCATGTTATCGGTAACCACAGACTATACTCATATAGCAACCATAATTAAGAAGACATACTATTCACAATATCATATCATTCTTATTTCAAATTTCTAGCTGCTCTGTAATCTTTTCATCTCAATTACTGAGGTATTTCGTCATATTGTGTTCATATTAGCATCACACAAAAGCAAGTTACATTATTAAACATCCCCAAGACATCACTAATCCAAGGGACTCGTCAACCCCGCTCACAAAATTGGATCGTCTTTTGCATAAAATGAAAATCGGATCGGAACTAACAAAATAACGCCGAAAGGTCTGATAACCGTCTTCGACCGGTTAAGCGCTTAGTCACAAGCAGCCGCGGGAGCGTAATATATGCGGGGGAAAACTATGGTTAAGCCACAATGGATTTACGAGTATCATGACCGAGATTAAACAGTTTATTTATTCCATACCAGTATAAAGACAAAAATAATGGTTACATTTCCCTAAAATTTATAAACAAAAAACTTAGAGATCAAAAATAATAGTGTGGAGTTGCTTGCCAGTTCTTCTCAGGCGCTCTATGCCCTTCATTTGGGGACTGATAGTAAATGTTTTTTTTTATCTATAGGACAGACTACTATGTTGGGGACATACTAGTCTAACAGGCACTCGATCAGGTCGAGCGGGGGAGTGTCAAATCTCCTATTTCCTATTTTTTTTTATTATTGACATCCATAAATATATGTCCATAATATGACTAAATTATTTTTATTTGAGTTTTATTTTTGGTCGTCTTGTACTAATCAGTCGCGTGTAGTTTGTTAATAAATATAAATACACATATTAATAGCTACTATACTATTGTATGTGTCATACAGGTTCATGGTACTCGCTACGCTTGTTGGCGTAACCACGTTATAAACATCCTCGTCCGAGCAAACTCTAACGATATTCGTAAATACTTTCCAAGTTTCGGAACCTTGGGGGACCTTTGAGTTATCGAGTTTGGTGAATCTGTTTTAAATATTCTTTGGACCTGTTTATAATTTCGTGTTTATTAAGTTTGGGAACAAATGGTGTGGCAGTTTTCGTGAATATTATAAATGGTATTTGAAATATTTATGTTTACGAAACAATTCAAAAGTTTAGCCGTTGATAATAATAAACTACGGAATCATCTATATATTCGTCATAAATAGTCCTTGGATTCTACTCTGTAGTCATATATTATTTTTCAAAAATCACTGTAACAATATGCAAATAAACTAGCCACATTTTCATTTTTTTTTAATTAATAAGAACATAAACTCATAGTGTATTTCAAAACAAACAATAATTTCCTTGTAATATAAATTCGGTGTAAAAAATAGTCTTAGCTGTTTACAAAGGCATATGAAAACTCGTGGCATTCTGCCATTTTTCGCAAAAAAAACTTCCAAACATGCTCCCGAAGTTAGCGCGTCACTCCGCTACCATGAATGACTAACGAAGACTAGGACATAGTTCATCGGCGCTTAAAAGACTTAATAGTGATAGCTTACAATTTAATTATCTCTATAATAAGTCCTAAATATATTATATAGACGTAAATTTTTATTAAGGGACTTTTAATATAATATAAGAGAAAAATTATTACAGCACGATTATCAAAGGAAACCATTTTGTTACATAGATAATGATACGGGTCAAAGGTCACGTCCACGTCATACTGTTGAATATTATACTAATCTGTGAACGCCTTCTTTGCGCTATTCATACCTAGTACGTATATATTATTTAATTTAGCATATTTGTACTATTTTCATTATAATATCCGCACTTAGAATTAACAATCTTAGTATTATACTTAATTCATCTATAATATGAATAGTACTGAGAGTAAGTAAAAAGTATGACATGAGATTTATTTTGGAATCCGATCATTATTTGTACGCCTCTTTAGTTTTCATAATCGGTATAATAATCGTGGACGATGACGTGATTAAAAATAAATTCCTGATGAGTTTTTAGTTGTAAAATAAATGATTTTATTTAAATTGACTGTAATATAACGACTATTGTTGACAAGGTCGCAAATAATATTTCCAAACGCACGCCACTTATGAACCTACAATTTAATAAAATATTTTATCATATTTACGCTGGTTATTTAATATTTATTTAAACAAGTAATTGCTCAGCCCTTAATTCTATTACTATACCGTTGAATCTAAGCAATCGATTAATGTCAACACAAGTTTAGCGTAGACGACGTCGGTAAGCTGCTTTAAGTTAATAATTGTTAAGTAGTAGACACACGATCGACGTCCCCGCTAATGAGATTACAAACTCAACTACTAGGCTTTACACGCACCTTGTTGGCTTGGACTAATCAAAACAGAAACTTTTCGTAGTTTGGCCAAAAATTAAGCTTGAGCTAAACTTAGCTAGACTTATTCGTACCTAATAGGTGTAATTAACTAACTTCTTTCTCATGTTTTATTACATAAATCTTTCTTTAGTTCTACAACTAAAAACAATTGAATTACGAAATAAAAACCTCGGTGATCTGTCCAACCAATTTTAAATTTCGAACCAAAATTGGCGCGTTAAATAAAACAAAGATTCTTTTTTTAAATCTACGCGCCAAGTTCGTTGAATAATACAGACAATGTGGCGTTATAAATGGCGGAAAAGATTAATGCATTATCTACTGAGTCCACTGGTCAAACGCATTACGGAAACCTGATCAGCGTCCATCCGTCTTTTATATACGTGCGGATTGTCTTACTGCATTATCTCAAAATCTATTGAATATTTGTTTACTGCCCACGATTTAGATAGTAATTGTTTTTAATTTTCTTTGGAGAGCTTATATTGTTTTATGGAAGAAATTAGACTTTTAAACTACCACCATATAAAAAAAACGATCTAAAAAATCTAAACTCCCTAGACATCTGAAACTGGAGATACACTTTGTAAAGTAGTAAAAAACAGAACATGTAAATTTAAAAATCGAATATTGGTTGATATATGAAGTTTCCGGGAACGAATAACTACAAGTATTTATTCTCTATACCACCATACCGTTTACAACCATATACGAAACTAATCTTAAAAAAAATTTAAACAACCTACATGGTATCTGTAACTAAAAATTTAAAAAAAATATTTAAAAATGGAATATCAG